CCTATTGTACTTCTTCTGTTGATGGTTTCAAATATTTTTTAACTATAGTGGATTATATGTCTAGATACAGATGGATTAAATTTATGGCAAGTAAATCAGATACAAGATCACAACTTATTGGCTTTGTTTCTTATATAAAAACACAATTTAGCATTGATGTAAAAGCTGTTAGATCAGGTAATGGTAATGAGTTTACAATGACAGATTTTTATAGACAAAAAGGGATACAACATCAATTATCTTGTGTTGAAACACCTCAACAAAATGGAGTCGTTGAGAGAAAACATCAACACATTCTCAATGTTGTTATATCTTTAATGTTTCAATCCCATTTGCCCATAATTTTATGGTCTTTTGCTGTTCGTTATGTTGTGCAACTCATTAATATTTTACCTTCCAAAGTTTTGGCATATTTTTCTCCATCTCAGCTGTTACACAATGTTAAACCTGACATTACTTACTTACGAGTTTTTGGCTCACTTTGCTATGCTTCAACTCTTCAAACTCAGAACAAAATTTCAACCTCGTGCAAGAAAATGTGTTTTACTAGGTTTTAAAACAGGAGTGAAAGGCTACCTTTTGTTATATTTCAACTCTAGGGAAATTTTTCTATCAAGGAATGTAGTATTTTATGAAAATATATTTCCTTTTCTTACTAGTGACAAGCACTCACCTATTGATACACAAAATTCCTTGGATTAGGTCACCAAAATTATTTCACCTCCATCACCTCTTTTCTCAGAAGTTACTGATCAACCCTCTTTACCACCTACATCTTCACCTTTTATTGTTCCCGTTATTTTTTCTTCTCAACCTGTTTCTGTTGAACCTGTCACTGCTACTCCACAAAGGAAATCAATCAGGCCAAAACATAAACCATCTTATCTGCAGGAGTATCATTGCAACATGTTATCCACAGGTACCTTATATCCTATCTCTTCATATCTCTCATATGATGCATTATCATCTCTTCATAAATCATATGTCCTTAATCTTTCCCAAGTTAGTGAACCTAAAACCTATAACCAAGCCATCAAACATGATTATTGGAGAAATGTCATGGATCAAGAAATTGCAGCTTTAGAAAATACCAAAACTTGGGTTTTGACTGATCTACAATGGAAAGCAACCTATCGGATGTAAATGGGTATACAAAATAAAGAGGCATGATGATGGGAGTATTGAACGATATAAGGCAAGGTTAGTAGCCAAAGGCTACAGACAACAACAAGGTTTAGATTACTTTGAGACTTTTTCACCTGTTGTCAAACTCATAACAGTAAGATTGGTTCTTGCTTTAGCAGCTTCCAAACATTGGTATTTACATCAACTAGATGTAAATAATGCCTTTTTACATGGGGATCTAGATGAAGAAGTATACATGTCTCTTCATCTTGGCTATAAAACTGAAAAACCAGGACAAGTTTGCAAGTCATTAAACTCTTTATATGGACTCAAACAGGCCTCTAGACAATGGAATTACAAGTTGACAACTACTTTACTCTCTTTGGGCTACATACAATCAAACTCAGATTATTCACTTTTTGTCAAAAGTGATTCTGCTCATATTATCATTTTACTTGTTTATGTAGATGATATAGTTTTGGCAGGTGATGACATCCAGGAAATCCAAACTGTGAAGGCTCTATTGAATGCAAAGTTCAAGATTAAAGACCTAGGCCAACTCAAGTATTTTCTGGGCTTAGAAATTGTAGATCTTAACAGGGCATTAATTTGACACAAAGGAAGTATGCTCTAGAGTTACTAGAAGATGCAGGATTGTTGGGGTGTCAACCTGTTTCTACTCCCATACAGTCAGGCATAAAATTTTTCAAGACAGAAGAGAAACCCTATTCAGATGTGCATGCATATAGAAGACTTCTTGGCAGGTTACTATATCTAACCAACACAAGACCAGATTTATGTTTCGCTGTTAGTACTCTTAGTCAATTTCTTTCCAATCCTTTGGAAGATCACTATGCAGCATCAACAAGGATCTTGAGATATATCAAGAACAATCCAGGACAAGGATTATTCTTTCCTTCCAACACATAACATGCTCTTAAGGCTTTTAGTGATTCTGATTGGACTGCTTGCCCTGACACTAGAAGGTCTGTGACTGGTTTTAATGTGTTTTATGGTGCATCATTAATCAGCTGGAAATCCAAGAAGCAAGATATTATATCTAGATCATCAATCGAAGCAGAATATAGAGCCTTAGCCTTCACAGCATGTGAAATTCAATGGCTTCTGTATTTGCTCCATGATTTGAAACAGCCTCTACCACAACCAGTTCCTCTGTTTTGTGACAATTAATCTGCTATACAAATTGCACATAATCCAACCATGCATGAGAGGACAAAGCATATTGAAATTGATTGTCATCTCATGAGAAATAAAGTTCAAGCTAATGTAATTAAGCTCCTGTCCATTCCTACTTCAACACAACTTGCAGACATTCATACTAAAGCTTTGCATCTAGCACAATTTCAATCTTTGTTGTCCAAGCTGAGCATTAAGGATATATATGTTGCAGCTTGAGGGGGATATTGAATTTAATTTATTTTCCGTTCATGTGTATTTATGTTCGTATATTTTATATTCTGTTTTTATATTGTTTCAAACAACTATATATATATATATATATATATATATATAAATTGTACTCTCTTCTTATTATGGAATAAGAAATACAATTTTCATCATTTCTTTTCTCATAACAGTCTTTTCTATACGCACCCCATTTTAAATCAATAAAATAATTACCTAAAAAACTTATTTTCATTATTTTATGTTTTCTTCGTTTTAATATATTTTTTCATTTACTGGTTATTTTTTTCATATAAGAGTGTCTCAATTTCATGTGTTCAATCTCGTGAACACTTACAATGTGTATACTTTTGATATAAATCATTGATAATATCATATTTTTTGTTGTTTTGATTTTTATATTTTTAAAAAGATTATTTACTTAATATTTGAAACTGTAAGGTACAAGTACGGTTGTCAATACAGATATATCTATTAACTAATGAAAATGTAGAGGAAACAAAAAATAAATATCCATTATATACGGAGGATATATGGATGAATATTTTCTTTCAGGATAAATATGTTTGTTTTCTTGAAGGATGAAGAATAGATAGTCAAATTGGCACTCATATCCTGTTTTCATTCCTAATATTATGTAATTAATAAAAGATGAGATAAGAAAATGAACATGTATTGTTGGATCAAAAGCTGTACTATAATAATTAAACAAGACTGAAAGTGATCTGAAAAAAATATGAAATAAACTTATCTCTTATAAGTTGTAATAATGTATTTTGTTATGTGAATTGATTTAATTGTAAATAAGTGATGATTATCAAATTTATTAAATAGATATATACCTAATTTGATTGAGAAATGATAGGTACATAATGATAATAGGTTTAGATGTGATTATGTTGTTTAGTATTTGAACTATTTTTTGAAAGAAGATTTATGGCTTCAGCGATTCTAAAAATTATGCAAATTAAAATATTGTGCAATGATAAGTTGAAGAAAAAATTCCCACCTTGTATTAATTATGTAGTACATGTAAGGAATTACCCTGAATATAACAAACTGTATCATTTACGGGCTGATAAAAATATTTTTGATGGATCTACAAACTCTAATGAGTCATATATAAGTTTTTAATAAAATTTGCTCAATAGTAATTCCTTATGTCTTTGTAAAAGTTAGAAATATGTATTATACTAAAATCCTTAATAAACTTTATGGAGGTGAGAAATATGTTTTTAATTTGAGAATGACTGATAAGATAAGATTTTTTTATAAATATATGAAAAATATAAATACGGAGGAGTATGTAGGTACGTATATGTATATATTTGGATGTGTTATATTTAATGGTGAATTATTTTATGTGGACGAGAACACCTAACACTAATAAAAACATGCTAACGAATTTTAAAAAGATTGCAGAAAAAAAGTTAAAATAATATATTCAGAAAAAAAATAATTGAAGTCAACAACAGTGTGTGGAATTCAAACCAAAGAAGGTGATGGAAGAATTTTAATAGAATGGACGGAAAGAGAAGTATTTTGTTTAATATTTATGGAGAAGAATGAACAGTGTTAATTATATTTTATTTACAAAATACAATAAAACTTGGAATGACTTTGTCCGTACGTTTCAAAATCTATAAATCATTTTCTTTCATATTCAATTTTTTTTTTCAAATATCAAATGAAAGAGAAAAAATAATTAAGAGCATCCCTTTTTCTCCCACACCCTTGGAACCAAAATTTTAAATCACAAATTACATTGAAGCAAGTTACACATTGATTTTTATTTTTAACTTTTGAAGAAATAATTTATTATTGAAAAAAAAAACTCAGTAAATATTTCCTTAATTAGTGTAGCGTATGAAGATGCCAAAACAAATAAAAAAAATTAAACTCGGTGGGTGTTACCCCATGTTTCCACGAAAATGGTTTGAATTTTCCACGAAAATCATAGGTGCATAATTTTTTCTCGGTCAACGTGGATGATGCTTCTTTTTTATCATATACAAGATCAATACCGTTTACTTCAATAATAATAATCTCTTGACCTGTAAAAAATCTGAAAATATCGAATGTACACTCTATTTTAAAAAGATGCAATTGGTGAGAAAAAAAAATATGCAAATTCAAATTTACTTAACCAAGGTTCCTTGGTGTTAGTTTTGGCATCATGGCTTATCTTTTTGTATGATTATATTATTCATGTGGGTGGAATGAACATTATCCAACTTATTAACATTACGTACAATCAACAAATTAATTTAGAGATTGTATTCCTTTTTGAAAAAAATATTAAGAAATTTAAAAAGTAAAAATATTTTAGAAAAATAGTAAAAACTGATTTATTATTTGAAGGGCAAAGTTGGAATGGAAGAAAGTTAGATTTGGAATATGATGTTAACTCCCTCAGACATTAAATAGAGTAGTCTGTTGTGAATTCAGAATTCTGAATTCTCAGCCTCAGCACAGCACCATCACCCAAATCTCTCTCACAGGATACATACAAACAAACATGTCTACTCCTCCGTCTTCCAATCTGAAAACCTCACATACAGTTCAAATTTTCTCTGCCATAAAACCATCACCGCATACTCCATCGCCGTCTTCTTCAGCCTTAAGCTCCATGAAGCTCAAGAGCCTCATCCACACCCTCATAGTCTCCCACATGTGCCGTATCATTCGTGCACTCTCTAAACTCAAAGCTGCAATCTTGCAAACCCTCAAAGGAAAACAGTCAAACAACATTCACTACCTCCACCACAGAAAGCAAAAGATGACCAAGAAGATCATCTCCGGCTCCTTCAGGCTTCACTACAACTGGTGCTCCTCCAAATCCTCTCAGGTTATCACAGTCCCCTCGAGGGTCTTTCAGGGTTTGTCAAATCCTCCTGATTCCGACCACTTGTACGAGGATTGCCACGGCAGCGCCCAGCTCTCGGGCTACTTGCGCTGGCTGGAAGAAAAGATTTCTGACGATGATAACAATGACGGCAAGAGTTATTGTGAGACTAACGAAATCGATATGATGGCGGAATTGTTCATTGCGGATTGTCATGAAAAGTTTAGGTTGGAGAAGCAAGAGTCTGATAGAATGTTCCATGAAATGTTGGCTAGAGGCATGTGAAATTTGGTGGAACATGTTACTATTTAAAAGTTCAGACAATAGAAGGGAAGGGCTTTGTTGAATTTTATGGTGTATTTTCCTTTCTTTAATTAACTTCTCATAAGATGGAAAAAGGGTAGTGAAAAATGGAAGATGGGGATTCATGCTTATATATATGTTGATAGTCATGGAAGTTTTATTTTGCCTTTGGCTTGTTAATCAGAATGAAACTGCATCTTCAAATTCTCACTCTTTTCTCTCTGACTTTACATGTTATAAAACAACTGTCATGGTTCCGACCAATTACAGAAAATCATTACATGTACACGAAAACTGGCTAATACCATACGTATGTGGTGGTCCTCTGTATCGTGTAATAATTTCCCTCGAAGGGTGTGTGGTTGGCTGAGTGAAAACACGTGAACTGGGTTGCTGAAGAATTCTATCAGATGGGTTAATTTCAACAGTACTTCTTTTCGTAGTCATGGAAACTTGCAGTAAAACTAATCATGGAAACTTTGTTATTTAGGATGAACTGCTGTAAAAGTTCTTGCTTTTTCTTCTTTCTTTATGCAGTTTCGTTGACAAAAAAAATGATATCTGCTTACTAGTATTTTGCAGACTAAAAAATTTGAAGCGATGAAATTTAAATTCCCAGTGAAAATGGAATAAACTGTTAATAAATTCCGCAAAGATGGAATTGTATTTATACACGAGGTGACATTGGTTTTCTTCTAATACAACTTTGAATAAAATACAATTTTTACGAAAATAACCATTGACCTGAATTGTATATTATATATGAAAAATATCAGTGTAACAGTAGTTTTTGTGGAAGTGAGCGATTTCAGCTGTTAATTCAAAATACTATATTATGACAAGTGGTGAAATTTGGCTTTAATAAAAACAAAATAATAATTATCTATCAAACAGTAGAGTTAATTTAAATACATTGCAAAGTGAAAAATTAAATTGTTTTATATATGTGATAAAAAATAAAGTTTAATAAGTAATTTTGAAATAAAATTATTTCGTTGATATAAAAATGGATTGTTGTTTTATTTAAAATAAGCATAAGAACACTTGGGGGCATTAACCATTCCAAATGTTGTTCAGTGTGGAAATGTGAAGAATTATTATGTGCTGTTAGAACAATTTTATATAACCATGGTATAACAAGAGTATTTATCATTCAAATGGAATTTTTTTTTTCAAATATATTAGTGGGCCTCATAAATAAATTATTGTGGATTATTTAGCACATTCTTACTTTTACATTATTAAATTTCACAATAAATAATAATATTTTTTTATTTATAAGTTGACTGGGGTTAAATACTGAAGATTAATTAAAACAATAGATTAATTTGTATTCACTACTTGGATAAACAATTTATGTGACCAATTATTTAAAAATGATTGTTGACTGTGTTTCTAAGTAATTATTGTAAAATGAGTTACTAATCAAACTATTTATTAATAAAGAAAAGACTGTTTATTTTAAATAAAATATATTTTATAATATGCAAAAATGGATGATAAGATGATAATTTTTATATTTATTTGACATATATTATAAAGGTAAAATAACAATAAATTTTTATATTTTTTTAAAGTAAAAAAATAAAAAAGATAATGTGAAATTAATGTTAAAAATATGTGTACCTGAAACTATTATTTCTAAGATAGTATGGTGGAATGTAACTCCATGGAAATCTTAAGAGGTTATGTCTTGTCATTGTAGCTATAAAGGTGGTCTGCAATGGAAACAAACTCGTTGCATGTGTCTTTTATATCTATATATATATATATATATATATATATATATATATATATATATATATATATATATATATATATATATATATATATATATATATATATATATATATATATATATATATATATATATATATATATATATATATATATATATATATATATATATATATATATATATATATATATATATATATATATATATATATATATATATATATATATATATATATATATATATATATATATATATATATATATATATATATATATATATATATATATATATATATATATATATATATATATATATATATATATATATATATATATATATATATATATATATATATATATATATATATATATATATATATATATATATATATATATATATATATATATATATATATATATATATATATATATATATATATATATATATATATATATATATATATATATATATATATATATATATATATATATATATATATATATATATATATATATATATATATATATATATATATATATATATATATATATATATATATATATATATATATATATATATATATATATATATATATATATATATATATATATATATATATATATATATATATATATATATATATATATATATATATATATATATATATATATATATATATATATATATATATATATATATATATATATATATATATATATATATATATATATATATATATATATATATATATATATATATATATATATATATATATATATATATATATATATATATATATATATATATATATATATATATATATATATATATATATATATATATATATATATATATATATATATATATATATATATATATATATATATATATATATATATATATATATATATATATATATATATATATATATATATATATATATATATATATATATATATATATATATATATATATATATATATATATATATATATATATATATATATATATATATATATATATATATATATATATATATATATATATATATATATATATATATATATATATATATATATATATATATATATATATATATATATATATATATATATATATATATATATATATATATATATATATATATATATATATATATATATATATATATATATATATATATATATATATATATATATATATATATATATATATATATATATATATATATATATATATATATATATATATATATATATATATATATATATATATATATATATATATATATATATATATATATATATATATATATATATATATATATATATATATATATATATATATATATATATATATATATATATATATATATATATATATATATATATATATATATATATATATATATATATATATATATATATATATATATATATATATATATATATATATATATATATATATATATATATATATATATATATATATATATATATATATATATATATATATATATATATATATATATATATATATATATATATATATATATATATATATATATATATATATATATATATATATATATATATATATATATATATATATATATATATATATATATATATATATATATATATATATATATATATATATATATATATATATATATATATATATATATATATATATATATATATATATATATATATATATATATATATATATATATATATATATATATATATATATATATATATATATATATATATATATATATATATATATATATATATATATATATATATATATATATATATATATATATATATATATATATATATATATATATATATATATATATATATATATATATATATATATATATATATATATATATATATATATATATATATATATATATATATATATATATATATATATATATATATATATATATATATATATATATATATATATATATATATATATATATATATATATATATATATATATATATATATATATATATATATATATATATATATATATATATATATATATATATATATATATATATATATATATATATATATATATATATATATATATATATATATATATATATATATATATATATATATATATATATATATATATATATATATATATATATATATATATATATATATATATATATATATATATATATATATATATATATATATATATATATATATATATATATATATATATATATATATATATATATATATATATATATATATATATATATATATATATATATATATATATATATATATATATATATATATATATATATATATATATATATATATATATATATATATATATATATATATATATATATATATATATATATATATATATATATATATATATATATATATATATATATATATATATATATATATATATATATATATATATATATATATATATATATATATATATATATATATATATATATATATATATATATATATATATATATATATATATATATATATATATATATATATATATATATATATATATATATATATATATATATATATATATATATATATATATATATATATATATATATATATATATATATATATATATATATATATATATATATATATATATATATATATATATATATATATATATATATATATATATATATATATATATATATATATATATATATATATATATATATATATATATATATATATATATATATATATATATATATATATATATATATATATATATATATATATATATATATATATATATATATATATATATATATATATATATATATATATATATATATATATATATATATATATATATATATATATATATATATATATATATATATATATATATATATATATATATATATATATATATATATATATATATATATATATATATATATATATATATATATATATATATATATATATATATATATATATATATATATATATATATATATATATATATATATATATATATATATATATATATATATATATATATATATATATATATATATATATATATATATATATATATATATATATATATATATATATATATATATATATATATATATATATATATATATATATATATATATATATATATATATATATATATATATATATATATATATATATATATATATATATATATATATATATATATATATATATATATATATATATATATATATATATATATATATATATATATATATATATATATATATATATATATATATATATATATATATATATATATATATATATATATATATATATATATATATATATATATATATATATATATATATATATATATATATATATATATATATATATATATATATATATATATATATATATATATATATATATATATATATATATATATATATATATATATATATATATATATATATATATATATATATATATATATATATATATATATATATATATATATATATATATATATATATATATATATATATATATATATATATATATATATATATATATATATATATATATATATATATATATATATATATATATATATATATATATATATATATATATATATATATATATATATATATATATATATATATATATATATATATATATATATATATATATATATATATATATATATATATATATATATATATATATATATATATATATATA